TTTGACTTAAAAGATTTTTTTTGAAAAAGATTGAGGAGATGAGAAGAGAAATATTTTTTAAGATTTTTGTGTTTGACAAGACTTCTTGAGTCTCGTGCCTACGTACCCACAAAATGCAATGGAGGACCAAAACCTCGTAGTTCATGGTAAAAGTAACAAAAGAGTTTGTTGTGTTCGATTTTAAATGGAAAGATAAATTATCATTTTAAGGAGACAACTCAATTAGTCACCTATAAGTGTATGAAAATGGATTTTTGCATCACTATTGAGAAGGGCTCGAACTTGGATAGAAATCAACAAGTATGCCACTAACTCTCTCAAGTAGAAAAGAATCAACATCAAACATCACTATGGGGATAGGAGAATTACATCTCAACTATAAAAATGACTCATGTCTAAACCTTGAGAAAATGTTTTAAAAGAGAAAAGTGCGCAAAGGGCACAAAATGGTTTGAATGAGTTGTGTATATTTTATGTCTTATGAAAAAGGTCTTTATATGCTTAAGATGAATTAGCATTTATTCAAGAAAAGGAGTTTGAAAATCACTTGACAAAATCAAGTTTTATTGTGAAAGTGGTTTAAGTTTGAAAACAAAAAGGTTTTGAAAAAGGGAGAAGATTTTGAAAGTTTAAGAAGGGGAGGAGATAGAGAGACTATCCTAATGCACAAAGTAAAAGCAAGAAAAGGAAATATCTAACAAAGATAGAAAGCTTCTGACATAAGTCAAACCAACCTTTCAATCCTTTGGATTTAAGCAACAAACCACAATTAAGCAAAGAATAAACCAAGTCTTCAAAGAGGTCAACCCAAGGTCAAACGTACCAGATGAATTCCAAGTTTTCAAGTCACAACTTCCAAAGCAAAGGATCAAGAACCTAAATTTAAGTCCATAAGTCCATAACCTAAGCATGGGATAGTAACCAATAGTACAAGGAAGCAATTAAGCCTTTTAATGGTTTGTCTTTATTAATGTCTTAAAAGAAAGAGAAAATATCCAAGTGGACAAAAGGAAAAAAAAAAGCATAAACATAAACAATAGCAATATGATATGTAAATAATAAGAGTAAAGCAATATAAAGAATAAGAAATATAAATAACATAAAAGTAAAGGTGCATAAAAGTAAATGACATAAAATAAAAGGTTAGAAAAATAGTATAGTTAGTATTGATGTTAGAGTTAATAATCTGATTTGGGACAAATTTAGCGCTATGTTAAGCAATCATACCACAATCTATAAGTAAGATCATACTATGGGAGGCTGGTCAATAAAATTTTATGTACCATACATGTTAGAGATATGATAGAAATCATACTCCTAAAACATGTAGCACAAGTAAAAATCAAGGAGGGGTCAAGCACTAAGGCAAAGAGATTGGTCAATTACATCAATCAATCCTTTATGACAACTTAGGACAAACTTATGCATCAATCGAAAGTAACTCCAATGATCAATCAAATGGTAGATTTGAAATAATGAAAGTTCATCAAGCATCAATCCAAACATCATGAAAAAGATGAACAACAAATCATCCAATTGATTAAGAGAAAAGAAAAAGAAAAAGAAGAAGAAGGAAAGATGAATAGAGGACCAAATTGAATAAAAAATGAAGATCACTTCATCATCAATTTCAATCACCTTTCTTGGTGGATTAAGGCATTAAACCTATCATCAACTTAAAGCACAAAAAATGAATCAAATGATTTATTTAATAATAGATTTGAATTGATGAAGGTTCATCCAACCTCATTAACACCCAAAGTCCATTAAAATTTAAGAGAAACTTGATCAATAAGCTATGATTCAAGGCAACAACCAGTAAGCCAATCAAAAGCAATAAAAGCAATTAAAATGCATGAAATGATTTTTTAAAATGAATTGTAAAATGAAAATAAGAGAGAAAATGAGAAGAGACCTCTAAACTAAAGTCAAATGATCAAGAAAAATACTACAAGTCAGAAGCAACTCAAGGATTATATTAAATAAATTGAAGAATTTAAAAATGCTTAAAAGTAATTTTAAACTAATTAAAATGCATGAAAAATGAAGAAAATAATGAAAAATAGAAAATCATGAAATAAAAATATGAAAAATAGCTCAGAAAATAGAAAATATTTTAGGAAATTATGAAAAAAAGTTGGAGTGAAAAATGTGAATGGAGCTATTTTTTATGAATCTTCAAAATAAAATAGAATTTTTAAAAAAAATTAATTGAAATTTAAAATAAGCAAAACATTTGAACCATAGGATCTGAACAACAGTTAGCTAGCAAACACATGTGTGACCATCAGATCAAAATTACACACATCCAAGGGTCCAAATATAAATTCAAACATGTGCTCTCAGTCAGATCATTGCACATGATTACAACGGCTAAGACATATTCAAAAAAAAAAAAGTATGTCAACACGCTATTGGCCAGGATTTAAATTTTGCTCCAGAAGGCGTGAATGTCATAGTCTTCAACCTCTGAACCCTAGCTATAGCAAAATCATGAACTGTAATTTAAGCTCAAACATTCATGGTGCAAGCTTCGTTTTATTTCATCGTTCATGTTTCTTTGCTCAAGATCAATTTATTTGATCTGAGTAAAGAGAATTTGCAGAAATATGCAAGAACCATAACTTCTTCAAACAAATATTAAATTTCAAAGATGAAGAATAAATTCCACTTAGGTTAGGGGAAATGATCAGTGGAACAATTTCTCCACTTAAGGGATGAAATTGGTGTTGTTATTTTTGATTAGGAAATTCTAAATTAAGGGATGGTATTGAAGGATAATTTAGTATTTTAGTATGTTTCATATGTGGCTCTAGTATTTGTGCATAAATAAACTAGTGGTAGTTATCATTTATATCATCATCTTTCTTACACAGCTTTTGTAGCCATCATTACAGAGCAATAAATATTCTCTCATTCCTTTTGTTTTCATCACCTTGGCACTAACAAGAATAATATAATTTTGTGTTTAGCCATTCATACATTAACATAAAATAAATTTATAATTATTAAAATAAATTTATAATTTGATGCATAAATATGAGTTAAACTCTTACAATTTTATCGTATGTCTAAATGACAATATCCATAAAATTGTATTTTAAAATAAATTTGAAATACTATATTGTGTAGTTATAAACAAGTGTGTGTATATCACTATGCTAGTCTCGTAACATTAATTTATTTTTGGCTTAATTGCAGTTTTAATCTTCCTATTATTCATTTTTTTTCGATTTTGATCCCTTAATTTTAAAATTCAGAATTATAATTCTTTTAGTTTTTTTTTTTTTAGTTTTTATCCCCCGTCAAATTTGAGGGCACTTTTTAATGACGTGGCCCTCACTTTACAGGAATTTTATTGTCAACTTAGTCTTTAACTATTCCAATTCGTCTTTTTAATTCAAATTTATGTTAACGCTTTTCAAAATGACATAATTCATTTTATAAATAAAAGCAAAATAAATTAACTCAAATTAACTCAACGTCTATTCTTATTCATATGAATATGCGTTTCCATTTTCTCCCAAAAGAACATGGACAGTCAAAATTCAAAAATATTAGGGAGCTATAAGACAGAGATGTGAGCAGCAAGAATTTTAGCTTAATAAGTCAGCGGAAAATGTAGAATCAAGATTCAAAAGCCTCTATTGTTTTGATGAAGACAACTCATATCAGCTTAGCTCGCAAGATACTATATACCCGTGCGGGTATATACACTGAAGATAAAATCTGAAGCATCTCTATTTTGAACACTTCACAAAAAGCAAGAGGTGCAAGCATATCAACAAGTATAAATTATCAAGATCAAGGCAAAGTCACATATGTCGATATGGATCAAGTTTCATCTATCAAGTTTCAAATAGTGTTGAAGATTCAAGACACGGTATAACATTGTTTACTTAGAATTATGTATGCAAGTGTTCTTTAATCTCACTTCACTACACCACTAACACAAACCATTTTAAAACACTCTTGATATTTTAAATTAAGGACTTTTACAAAAACCTTCAGTGTTAACCAATTAACGCATGGGGTTAACCGGTTAACACACTTCAAATTTCAGTATTTTTAGGATTTCTAACAGTGTTAACCGATTAACCATATAGGTTAACCGATTAACACATGAAAAATTTGAATATTTTGAACGTTGTAAAGGTGTTAACCGATTAACCTATATGGTTAACGAATTAACACTGTAACAGCAAGCAAAAATAGCAACTGTTCATGGAGAATTGCATTGCTCTATGATCTTCTTACTGGCTATTTTTGATGTCCCAAAAACACACCTTTTTGAAAAGGTTTTTGATCAGTATAAATTGATTTCTTTTTCAAAATCAAATTCACCTTCAAGAAACAAATTTAAAAAATTACTCTTTGTCTTCAACCTTTTGAATTTTCATAAAAGTGTTCAAACATTTTTGAAAGAAGCCATTGAAATATACTTTCACATTTTTCACAGCTTACTTTCACAATAAGAACACTTGTATATTATTTCTGAGTAATCTTTGTTTCGAAAAGAAGATCAATATTTCATATTGATATACATTCAAATTGTTACTTACATACAATTCAGAATTGACTACAACTTATTCTTATAATTATAAAAGATAAGTTTGTAGGGTTTTCCTTGTGATCCGGATTGTGGATACAAGAGGTCCTTGTGTGAGATATTCATTCTCGGTAGGACTTAAAAATTGTGTAAATCCAAGAAGGGTGTTCTTGGTTGTTAGGATTTTCTTGTGTAGAAATCTAACATTGATAGTAAAATTCTCTTTCCTGTTGAAAGGGGAATGGAGTACTCTCGGATTGTGAGGGGAACCACTATAAATTGTTGTGTCCTTTACCTTCTGCACTTTACTGATTTTCATCATCTAGAAGAACTTAAAGAAGTAAAATCCAAGAATCATAAAAAACCAAAAAAGTGTCTAAGAACCTAATTCACCCCCCCCCCCCCCCCCTCTTAGGCATACATATAACTTACAGAAAAGACTTAGGAAGTTATGGCGTTGGCGAATGAGGAATTTTTTGTATCCAAGGTTGCAAAAGAAGTTATTAAGTCACTTGCGTCACATGTTAATTTACTTCTCTCAGAACTTTTGGTATTTTAAAGGATTATTTTTAATACTTAGACAGATGAATGTGTTTTTTATTGACATGTCACATTGTTATTTCAGCTCAAAGATCTAGCAGAGAGGCTTCCTCTTGGTGTTTATGACGATGATGACATGAAACCAACATACCTGCCAAATGGTTTCGTCGAGACAAATGGAATCCACCACCAAGACTTAAATGGGGATCCACACCACACAAGGACAGAGTATATCAGTAGCTCCAGTTTTCCAAATGGTGGTGGTACAATCCAGAAAACCAACAATAGTGTGTCGCATACAATCGACGACACAGATTCTAAGAATTTCCTAGAGGATGAGAGTAGCTCGAGATCAAGAAATGATGTGTTGTCTACAGAATGGGTTAAACAATATAGTTTTGAATCTCGACTATTCGGGTTCGTGTATTTTTAGAGGGGAAATTGAAACGCATATTCATATGAATAAAAACAGATGTTGAGTTAATTTCAGTTAATTTATTTTACTTTTATTTATAAAATAAATTATGTAATTTTACTCTAAATACGGTGTTAATTGCATGATGGGTAGGGAGATGTCCTTAATCTCCATCAGGGTTTTCCCTAATTTCTTCCATTGTTGAATGTTTGATGATATGGATGAGACTATTATGATAACATGATATAATTGATGTCATTATTCTGAAATTTGTGTGCTTATTTAACATAAAAATTAGATGTTTGTATTCATAAAAGTGGTATGAGTTGTGTTCATGTGATTGGCATGAATATGATGAATAAAGTGTTAGAAATTTTGATTCATTGATGAAATTGTATGTTAATTGATATGTAATAATGATGTTATAATGAATACATGTGATTTCTCAGATGTTTAAGATCGATTGCAAGGTCAGGGGTGGAAAATTAGAGTTTTGAACTGAAATCCATAGTAGAACACGAAATTCTGCTTTTACAACCAGATGACGGGCGTCATCTGCGTGACGACCAGTTTGTCATGCACTTTAGAACACTGACGGGTGTCAGCGTTCTGAAGGGGAGACTGTCATGGTCTTCAGGCAAGCGTGGGGCCTTGCTAGTCGTCATAGATGTGACAGTTAGAGGAAAAGTGTAACACCCCATTTTCTTTAAATTATTTGTTTAATTTAATTTATGTTTTATTTAATTAACTAAATTAATTTTTATATGCTTTGGATTTAAGAGGGGGAACCATGTTGAACAAGTAACTCCAAACATAAGAGGGCGTGAATTATTAAGTGTAGAATTTATGATTAATTTTAAAAATTATTTTTAATTTGATAACAATTTATGTTAGTATAGAGATATAGCAACAGAGAATAAAAAGAAAGAATTAGAGAGGAATGGAAATAAATCAACAAAAATAAAAGAGATAGTGATAGAGAGATTGCACCGGGATTTATAGAAGTCTGGCCTATTACCACTTGGCATACTCCTCTCACCAAGAATTTATTCTTATGAGCTCCACTAAAATAATTTCTTGATCTTTTATGGATATGCCCACAAATCTTATTACAAAGATGTGAGATTTTATATAGGCTAAATTTCTAAACCAAACAAAACTTTTGACGAATGAGCTCACAAACCAAACAAAGATTTCATCGGCTAATCTCAAAAACCAAAAACATAGATTTTACAAGGACAATATCAATAACCAAACAAAGATTTTACCATGACAATCTTAAGAACGAAAGATATCAAACAAGAGAATCACACTCTTGATGAATTACACTTAAGCACGAACACTAGTACAACCAAAAACTATCTTAAGTATTTTTTACTCACAAGGCGCTAAGGCAACTTTAGTGAAAATATAAAAGGAGAGAAGAGAGAAAATAAGAAAATGATAGTAGAAATATGAATTCTGGTGCAATTTGAAATTGTGTGATATAAATTTCAATTCTTATAAAAAAAGAAATTTTCCTTAAGAGGTTTAGTAAAAATAAATGTGAGTTGATTAAATGAAGACATGTGCTCAATTATACAATTGTCTTTTTCAACATGATCTCTTATGAAATGGTGCCTAACATAACGTGTTCTGTCAGATAGTGAAGTATCTTTTTTTTCATAAGGTTTATGATACTAGTGTTGTCACATTTTATCGGGACAACATCAAGATTAACTCAATAATCACTTAGGTGATGTTTCGTCAGGATAATTTGTTAACAACAACTACCCGTAACAACGTATTATGCCTCAGATGTGAATAGAACTACACATGTTTATTTCTTACTATTCCAAAAGACAATAAAATGAACAAGTAAGTGAAAAGTCTCATCGGTACTTTTCCGATCTAATTTGCATCTATAAAAATCAAAGTCAATGAACCCAACTAAGACATTATCTGTCCCTTTCGGGTACCATAAACCCTATGAGTGGTGTGCCAATGAGATATCTCATAATGCATTTTACCGCATTGAGACATGGTTCTTTTGGGGAAGCTTGAAAGCAGGCATAAAGACATATAACAAATATGATATCAAGACGATATGCATTAAGACAAAGGAGGAAACCGATCATACCTCATTATTTGATTTCTTCAATTGAATTTCCTCCTTCATCCTTATCCAAACGATAAGAAGTAACCATCTGAGTGGATATGGCTTTAGCTTTGACCATGTCGAACCTTTTGATTAACTTTTTGCAATACTTATCTTGATTGATGAATGTTCCTTCTTTGGATTGATGAATTTGAAGTTCAAGGAAACATCGAAGCTCCTCCGTCATTAATGTCTCATCTTAGAAAATTCCTTACAAAAGGATTTGTTAGTAGCACCAAAAATGACATCATCTACATTAATTTGAACTATTAATATGTCATGCTTATATTTTCAGATAAAAAGGATTTTGTCAACTTTTCCTCTTTGAAAATTATTTTCAAGCAGAAATTTGCTCAGATGATCGTACCAGGCTTTAGAAGCTTGTTTCAGACCTTATAAAGCTTTTTTCAACTCGAAGACATGATCAGGAAAGGGAAAGCCCACAAAGTCTAAAGGTTTATCAATAAACACTTTCTCTTGGATGTAAACGTTCAAGAACTCACTATTTACATCCATTTGGAAAATTTTAAAATCCATGATGCAAGAAAAAGATAAAACCATTCTTATGGCGTCTGATCGAGCTACATGAGTACAAGTCTCATCAAAATCTATGCTTCCCATTGAATGTATCCTTTCGTAAAAATTCTTGCTTTATATCTCAAAAAATTTCCATCTTTATCAAGCTTGTTACAAAAGACCCAGTGGGTCCTAATCACTTGATTAGTTGAACATTTGGTAACAAGTTACTAAATGTTGTTTCTTTCAAATTGATTTGACTCTTCTCCATAGAAAGAGATCAATGTTCATCAATGAGGGCATCATTAACTTCCTTTGGCTCAATTTGGAAAACAAAATCCATAATATTACATACCTTTCTAAAGGAGTGTTGAGTTGTAACTCCCTTAGGAATATATCCAACGATGTTCTGAATTGGTTGGTCCTTATGCGTCCTCCATTCTTTAGGTAGATATTGGTTTTCTAATTTTTCTTTTTCAGCTTGAGTCTCTTCATTTAGATTTTAATCTTCCATTTGTCCTTGATTTTGATATTGACCATCATCTTCTAGATAGGGTTTTATCAAGGATACCTGCACAATCAACAACTTCTACCTCTATAGAAAAGGGGTTACACTCATCAAAGGTAACATGAATTGATTATTCTATCGCCAAGGTTCTTTTGTTAAAAACACTTAAAGCTTTGCTTGAAGTAGAATATCCTAGCAATATGCCTTCATCAGATTTGGTATCAAATTTCTCAAGATTATCCTTTCTATTAGTAGGGACAAATCATTTGTATCCAAAGACATGTAAATGAGAAATATTTTTCTCCTTCCTTTATACAACTCACAGGAAGTTGACTTTAGAATTTATCTTCTCAATACATGATTCATTACATAGCAAATAATGATCATAATGTCGACCAAAATTATTTACGAAGATTAGTCTCGTTGAGTCCTTGCTAGCTCTCATAAAGATATTTTTCTTCCTATCCATTACCACATAATTTTGGGGAGTTTATGAAGTGTAAAAGGTATGTTGAATGTCAATCTAATTGTAAAACATTTCAAATTCCTCATTCTAGAATTCACCAAAATTATCACTTTAGATCAATAAAATGCTTAATGCTTTATCGTTCTCGATAATCCTGGTATGTTTCCGAAATGTAGCAAACATGTATCTTTTATAATCTATAAATAATGTCCAGCAACAATAGTCATCCACAACTACAAGAGCATAAATTTCTGCTAAAACCTTTTATTATGGATGGGCAAAAAAGATCCATGTGCAAAATTTATAAGGGCCGGTTTGTAGACACACATTTTTAGCCTTAAAAGAGGTCAGTTACATGTTTACCCTTTTAGAAATCATCACATAAACAAATTTTTTGAAAATGTACAGTTGGCAGATCAATCACTAAATTATTATGGACTAACTTGTTTAAGTCGTACATGTGGATATGAGTTATTCTCATATGCCATATATAAGATATATCCTCGTTACTTAGAAGGCAAACAACTTTTGAAAGAGTCTCATTAGATTTATGTCATAAGTGTTTTCACTTCTAGAGTTGGTAAAAATGGTTTGATAAAATTTTGATTTGATAACCCTACATCCAAAAGAATCAAAGGTTATATTATTACCTTTGTCATATAATTGACTAATACTTAGCATATCATGTTTTATACCATCAAATAAAAAAAAGCTTCCTTAATTGTTGGATTGGAGAATTTACTAACGATTCTGTTCTGGACTGGGCCGAGGCTTAGCCCACAATCGAGAAGGCCCAAAATCCCACTGAGGTTGGGCCCAATTGGACCACACTGATGAGCAGGGACCCATGGGCAGAACCTCCTCCCGTCAGGCAGGTGCCCATCCCGTGGGCAGAACCTGTGCCCATCCTGACGGGCAGAACCTGTGCCCATCCCGTCAGGGCAGAACCTCCTCCCGTCAGGCAGGTGCCCATCCTGACAAGCAGAACCTGTGCCCATCCCGTCAGGGCAGAACCTCCTCCCGTCAGGTAGGTGCCCATCCTGACGAGCAGAACCTGTGCCCATCCTGGTGGGCAGAACCTGTGCCCATCCCGACGGGCAGAACCTGTGCCCATCCCGTCAGGGCAGAACCTCCTCCCGTCAGGCAGGTGCCCATCCTGACGAGCAGAACCTGTGCCCATCCTGACGAGCAGAACCTGTGCCCATCCCGTCAGGGCAGAACCTCCTCCTGTCAGGCAGGTGCCCATCCTGACGAGCAGAACATGTGCCCATTCTGACGAGCAGAACCTGTGCCCATCCTGTCGGGCAGAACCTGTGCCCATCCCGTCAGGGCAGAACCTCCTCCCGTCAGGCAGGTGTCCATCCTGACGAGCAGAACCTGTGCCCATCTTG